TAGCTTCAAGAAGTATTATTTTTAATCCCTGAAATTACCAGTTGCTAAACAGTCATACTTTTTCCTCAAATACAAAAGTGGTGGCAGTCAGCCAAGAAAAACATTTCTCCTTGTAGGGAGAAGTGGACTGTTGTTAAAGGCCATGGTGATCATTAACAAAAATGATGTCATAATTAGATGCCTCCCTAGGATGCTCTAGGCCAAGGAAATGTGATCACAGTCTTTACCTAGGCAGCGAACAGTCACCTGCCTAAAAGCATTTGGTGAAAGTGTTCAGTCTCCAGGGCAAGGTGGTTTCCTGCAAAAAATCTTGGACCTCAGTGTTGCTCCCTGCTTGAAAAGCTGGTGACCGACACAGGGGATTATGAACTGGTGGTGTGGGGTTTTGATAAAGAAAAATTGGGGGACTGCATGTGCGGATTATTTTAAGAGGTCTCTGTGAGTCATACTTTCAAACAGAGTAAAGCCTCTCTTAAGATAGATCTTTCATACAATTCTTAACAGTTCTTTTGTAAGGAGGAACAATTCTAGATTTTATCAGTAAGTTGCCCTTACTGCTTTGTAAAAACACAAAAGAAACACAGTATTCAAAGTTTTAAAGATTCCAAATCACAAAACAGAAGAAACTGAGAGTAGCCAAGAAGCCTAACTTTTTCTCTTTCGTTTCTTTTCCTTTTTTTTTTTTTTTTTTTTTTTTTTGAGATAGAGTCTCACACTCTCACCTAGGCTGGAGCACAGTGGTGTGATCTCAGCTCACTGCAACCTCTGCCTCCCAGATCCAAGTGATTCTGCTGCCCCAGCCTCCCAAGTAGCTGGGATTACAGCTGCCCGCCACCATGCCCGGCTAATCTTTTGTATTTTTTTTTTTTTAGTAGAGACAGGGTTTCACTATGTTGGCCAAGCTGGTCTTGAAAGCCTAACCTAGTGATCTACCCACCTCAGCCTCCCAAAGTGCTGAGATTACAGGCCTGAGACACTGCCCCCAGCCCTCTCTTTCTTTTTTTTATCCACTCCCTTCTCACAACTCCCCTGATACCCTACCACGTTTTCTGAGGTCCATCTCACCAAAGTCCTCGGAGGATGTATACTATAGTGACAAGAATACAAATGGTTTTATCACTTACCTCTAGGCAAAGAAAATCATCAGGAAAAATTTATCACACCCAGTATACTTACTGATTATAAAATGCATCCTGGTATAGGAAACAATAGAGTATGAAGTAATAGCCATGGAACTTCAGGAGCATTTTGTAACCTCTCTTGCTTAGCTTTCTCATCTGTAAATGGAAGGTTGTGAAACCTCCCTCTCAATGTGGCTGTAAGGAAAGTATAGAATAAGATTAGATATTCATTAAAGTCTCTTCCTTAGAGCTGATAATAGCAACAGCTCTAAGGTGTGGATAATCAGTATATGGGTTTGAATCTCCCTGTGGTTCGTAATTCCCTATCAAAGGGCTTGTAATGGTTTTGGATGAAATCATTTTGAGTGGCAGAGGAATAAAGGGAGCTCAGATGCTCCCTACCTTTGTGGGCTTTCTCTCCCCAAGGGAATCTGGGGGAAGCTGCCTGTCAACAGCATAATCAAAGTCTCATTTATCACCCACACAGCTTTCTTCACTTTTAGGAGAAAACTTGCATTATTTGGGACTCAGTATAGATAAAAGACTTAACCAGAGTTGCTCCAGCTATGATCAGCCTTAAATTCAACAAGAGTCACATTAGCAGGCCTGCATAATTCCCCCCTGGGGATTCTGGCCCCTTCCTTCTTGATGTCTGCCACCCATGGAGCAACTCAGGGGATCATATTGTTAGAGTTGCTAGGGCCTTCCATGAGAAAGCTGAGGAAGTGTCTCCAGGAGCTCCAGTGTCAGGGTAGCCCTCACTCCAGGAGGGCCACCCTGAGTTCTGCACAGAAAAAGTCTCTGGTTTTCACCATGTGTTGGACCTTCTCATCTTGGGATAAAGGTGGGGCAGCCTCTGTCCCATTCTCACAGTATCTCTTATAAGTACAGTTCCTGTAACTTCTTCCAGCAAACATTGTCTCTACAGGGCTTGTTTATGACCAGGTCAGAGATTCCATGATATCTTCTTATTCCCCATCTCACTCCCCAACATTCAAACTAGAAAATGCTGGTCTGTGAAGACACTGCCAAGAGAATGAAAAGACAAGCCACAGTCTAGGAAAAATATTTATATAATACATGTCCAGTAAAGGGCTTATATTCAAAACATGCAAAGAACTCTTTTAAAAAAGTTTTTTGAAATATAATTTATATACCATACAATTCACCCATTTAAGGTTGTATAATTCAACAATTTGGGATATATTACCTTAGTAGTTTTTTAAGCTGTGGTAAAATATATATAATATAAAATTAGCCATTTTGACAATTTTTATTTGTACAATTAAGTGGCACTAAGTACTTCACAATATTGTACAGCCATCACCATTATCCATTTCTAAAACTTTTTCTCACTCCAAGAAGAAATTCTGTAACCAATAATCAATAGCCATCACTTGCCTTCCTTCAAGTCCATGGGGACTTTAAAGCCACTTTCTGTCTCTATTAATTTTCCTGTTCCAGACATTTCATATAAGTAAAATCACATAATATTGTCCTTTTGTGTCTGGCTTATTTTACTTAGCATAGTGTTTTCAAGGTTCATTCATGAAGTAGCACAGAGCAGAACTTCATTCCTTTTCATTGCTGAATACATTTTCATTGCATGTATATACATTTTGTTCATTCATTCATTCATATGTTGTGTTTTAATATACACATGTGTATTTCCTTGCTCTGCCAACCGAGAGGGACTAGAAATATGTAAGGGACACAGGAGTAAGTAGTGCCCAAATCTTGCCTTCTAATACCATGCTCCATAAAAGGAATTGGGGATCCTTGAAGAAATGGCTTAGTCTAGGACCACAGTTAGCAATGTACAAGATGAACCTGGAGCATCTTGTAGTGCCAGAAAATAAGGAATTTCAAAACAAAAACAAACAACCCACCACCGCTACATTATGGATAGTATATCAAAGCAATCCAAGAACCAACTGAGAACACTCCCAATGGCCAAGGCCAGAAGTAAGCAGGAGTAACTTTACAGTGGAGAAACTTGATAAGCATGACTCTGGCCACTAATTGAGGTCCATATCAACAGTGATAATCACATTATTATATGTACCCTTGGTCCGATGTGAAGAAAATGGCACTCTACTTCTGTGATCTTCCTTCCAAAAACCCATTAACCACAATCCAATCATGAGAAAAACATCAGACAAGGTCCAGTAGAGGGGTATGTGCAAAATACCTGACCAGGGCTTCTCCAAACTGTCAAGGTCGTCAAAAACAAGGGACATCTGGGAAACTGTCAGAGCCAAGAGGAGCCTAAGGAGAAACGATGACTAAAGTTAATATGGGATCCTGGGGCCGGGCACGGTGGCTCAAGCCTGTAATCCCAGCACTTTGGGAGGCCGAGGTGGGTGGATCACGAGGTCATGAGATTGAGACCATCCTGGTCAACATGGTGAAACCCCGTCTCTACTAAAAATACAAAAAATTAGCTGGGCATGGTGGCGCGTGCCTGTAATCCCAGCCACTCAGGAGGCTGAGGCAGGAGAATTGCCTGAACCCAGGAGGTGGAGGTTGTGGTGAGCCGAGATCACGCCATTGCACTCCAGCCTGGGTAACAAGAGCGAAACTCCATCTCAAAAAAACAAACAAACAAAAACAAAAACAAAAAAAATATGGGATCCTGGATGGGGTCCTGGAACAAAATATATATATAATATAAATAATATATATTATATGTAATATATATTAACAATACATATATACACATATTTATATCTATATATGTTACATAAAAACTTTTAAAAATCTGAATAAACTAAAGGCTTTAGTTAATAATAAAGGATCATTATTGGTTCATTAACTCTAATGAACTTATACTACTAATGTCAGATGTTAATAATCAGGGACACTGGATGAAGGGGTATATGGGAACTCTGTACTGTCTTCTCAGTTTTTCTGTAAATACTGTTTGTATTAGCTTATTTTCACACTGCTGTAAAGATACTACCCGAGACTGGGTAATTTATAAACAAAAGAGGCTTAATTGACTCATAGTTCTACATGGCTAGGGAGGCCTCAGGAAACTTACAATCATGGTAGAAGGGGAATGGGAAGCAAGCGGGTCTTACATGACGGCAGGAGAGAGAGAAAAGGGGGAAGCACCAGACTCTTGTCAAACAACCAGATATCATGAGAATTCACTCACTCTAACAAAAATAGAATGCAGAAACCTGCCGCATGATTCAATCACCTCCCACCAGTGATTGGGACTATGGATTTGGATTACAATTCAAAATGAGATTTGGGTGGGGACACAGATACAAACCATATCACCGTTCTAAAAAATAAAACAATATTTAAAAAAAAAACAAAACAGAAAAATCATCAGGTGCAGTGGCTCATGCCTGTAATCCCAGCACTTTGGGAGGCTGGGGCAGGCAGATCATAAGGTCAAGAGTTCAAGACCAGCCTGACCAACATCGTGAAACCCCGTCTCTTCTAAAAATACAAAAATTAGCCGGGCGTGGTAGTGCATGCCTGTAATCCCAGCTACTCAGGGGGCTGAAGCAGGAGGACTGCTTGAACCCCGGAGGTGGAGGTTGCAGTGAAATGAGATCACGCCATTACACTCCAACCTGGGTGACAGAATGAGACTCCATCTCAAAACAAAACAAACCAAAAACAGAAAAACCCTAATGATACAGATATTTTCTCCATTTTTTTTCCAATGAGGAAGCTGAAAGTAAGCACCAAAGTAACTGGGCACAAGATGACCCTCCTGCTTAAATAGCAGAGGTGGGATTTGAGTTGAGGGCCCTTTCTACCGAGTCACACTTTTGCCTGTCTGTGGGTGGGACCCCCCTCTGTTTCTTTGTTTCCCAAGTATGCACTTATGTGTGGGTTTTTTTTTCTTGTTCTTCCCAGGGGATGGCCTTTACACTTGAAGAAAGGCTGCAGCTTGGAATCCACGGCCTAATCCCGCCCTGCTTTCTGAGCCAGGACGTCCAGCTCCTCCGGATCATGAGATATTACGAGCGGCAGCAAAGTGACCTGGACAAGTCAGTACCTAGCATCTGTTCTCTCTGCCTGGTTCTTGGGCTGAGCTGTCTGTTTCCTGTGCTTCACAGAGGGTTTTCTGGAAAGTCTCCAGCTAAAAAGGGCTGAGAGCCCAAAGACTTCCCAGACTCAGCCCTACCTAAAGGATTCATGGTCTCCCTGAAAGACAAGGCTTTTTATGACTGAGGCACAGCCGACATGTCCTAAGGGAACTGGGAAGAGAAACTGCATTCCAACCATTGGAATCTGGGAGGGCCTCTGGGAAGTGGTAGAAGCTGAGTCAGCATAAGAAGTACTGATAAGACTTCAGCAGACAGCAGTGGAGTTTAGGAAGAGTATTTCACTAAGAGGGAAGAAGTGGAGCAAAGACGTAGAGACAGGCATGTTAAGGAAGTGGTACATGGCTTGGGTTCCTGGAATTAGGGGGACATGGTCAGGGAGAGGGAAATGGACAGGGGATGCCTTAGGATGAACCTAGATATCATTTGTTAGAGGTTATGGGGAGCAGGAAATAACCCTGCCCCCTCTCTGCGTTCTTCTCCAGTGGAGATCCAGACATAAAGAGCCAATAGGGAATCACAGGGTCAACTTTAACAGCTTTACTAAAGAAGGTGTTACTTCCCAGGTAGCATGGCTATAAATGGGCATAGCTAGGATTTGGACACAGAGACCTGGCTCCAGAGTCTATGCTTTTCATTTCTCTTCTATGCCACAGCTAAGAAGCAGCAGAGCCCAGTGGCTACAAGACTAGATTCTAGTACTACGTTAAGTTCAAATCTATATTCTACCTCTTAATAGCAAAAGTTACTTAGCCTATATGGGTCTTTTCCCACTGGTACAATGAGTACCATATGGAAAAGTCATAGGGTTGTTATGAGGATTAAATGCCTTAGTATTTATAATGTGCTTAGAACAGTGCCTGGCACATAGTAGGCACTATGTCAGCATTTGTCAAGTAAATATGTCACCTTGTCATGGGCTCTAGCAGAAGTGTAAAAAGAAAATAAGGAATTCCCCTCTTAGAACAAACAAACTATAGAACAAACTGGCCAAAACTTTGGGTCCTTGAGTGTGTGACTGTCCCCCTAGGGGCAAGCTCAGTAGCATGCCAGGGTCACCCTACACTCATATTCCTCTGTTTCCCCCATACCATGCATTGCTTCTGAGTGGTGATGAACAAGGAAGCCTCTGCCCATACCCCACCCCTACTCCCAAAGCTCTAAACTTGAAGGATGTTACTCACATTAATTCCAAGGCCATACTGTAGTCAGGCCAAGTATCCTCTCCCTCTTTTTTTCAATCTCACTCTGATTGGGTCTAGCTAAGTCACTCTGAAGAGCAAGCCAGAAATTACACAATGAATTCATCTAACAGGATGAGACACACCCTAACTTTGAACAATCTGAACCTTCTTCTTTTGTTAAATTTATAAAGAAGAAATCAAGTCCAAAGTGAAATCCTCTTTCCTACAAATATTAAGTTCTAAAAGTTAAATTCCAAAATCCTTCCCTCCCCAGTTCTTTCCAGCTAGATGGGCCTCACTCATAGGCCTGGGGAACCATTCCAGGCTCAGGGACAAAAGAGTGTGCCCTTTCTTGGGAGCTGTACAGGGCTGGCTCCTGATACTGCATTGACCACATTGACCCACTTATTCCCAGGAATCCCTCATTTTATAGGGTGCTTGGGGACATGCTAAGAAAACTCCCCATCTTCTCTAGGGTAAGGGCAGTGGTGTGCTGGTAAATCTTTTATAACTGGTTCTCTATGTGGTATGAGGGGTGGGATAGGAAATTATGGCATCTCCCGGATTCCATAGTGTAAATACTTGTACCATAGCTGATTTCAGATTACTAGTTTGACATAGCTGAATGTAGAATTGAGAAAAAAAATGTGCACAAATGGTTATTGGGTAAGAGAATCCCACACTGGCAATGGGTTGAGATCCTGGCTATTCCTATCAATCCTCCCTTGCTAAAAACACCTTCCAGAACACACTTTGCAGTTTTCCACCAAAGGACCAATGCCTTTGGTAGAGAGGAAGAGGCTGAGACCCAAGAGGTCACACAAGACTTTCCCAAGTTCATACAGCTAATAAACGGCAGAGCTGGGATTCAAACCCGGGATCCTGATGTCATGCCCAGTGATCATTTCACCAGAGCACAGAGTATTTTTCCCCATTAGAGCATTTCTCTCATCCCACCCCATGCCAGAGCATCAAGTACCTTAGAACTCTCCCCCAGATTGTTACCTAGACAGGTTGCGATATTAGCAGTCACATTTAATTATGAATTTCAGCCCCTAGGGTTTCTCTCACCGAGGTTTTTGCATTCTTAGGAGTCTGAATGGAAGGCTCTTTTCCTGGCTTAGTGATTTCAGGTTTCAGGGAATAAAAGAGAGGTTATTTTTAGAAATCAAAACTTGTGACAGGAACCAGCCCAGTGTTGCTGGAAAGGCCAGTCCATAGAGTGCTTATATACCCAGGATTTTCCTTGACCCTACCCTACCCCCAGAACATTATTATGCTATTGTCATTCATTAATGTCCACATAATATCATAAGCATCTTACATAGTGGTTGAGAGCACAGATTCCAGAGTCAGATTGCTTAGATTCAAATTCCTACCCTGCCATGAGACCTGGGGTGAGTCAATTTCTCTCCACATTAGTCTCCTTGCCTCTAAAATGGCAAGAATTATGGTCCCTACTTCACAAGCCATTGGAAATTTTAAAGGAATTAATATAAAATATTTAGAACAGTACCTACACCATGTATAATAATAAGCACCACAGGCAGGTCATCTTCACATTTCGTAGCTGTTGAAGCTCATGCTCAGGGCAGATGGCTTGCCCGTGAATGTACCCTTGCAGCTGAGCAGCAGCAAGAGCCCTGGGTCTTTGCACCATACCACAGAGGCGTCAGGGCCTGCTGCTACCACATGTCAGCCTGCTTTTTCTCTCCCTCTCCAAGGTACATCATTCTCATGACACTCCAAGACCGGAATGAGAAGCTATTCTACCGAGTGCTGACCTCGGATGTGGAGAAGTTCATGCCGATCGTGTACACACCCACGGTGGGGCTGGCCTGTCAGCACTATGGCCTGACCTTCCGCAGACCCCGGTGAGCCACTGTGGAGTGAGGGCTCTGGGAGGGGCTGCTTCATAGAGGGGAATAAATTCTTTCCACCATTCATGCTTATTGGGACCCTACAGGCTAACTCCTGATTGGATCAGTGGTCCAACAAAGAGACATTTGATTTTAAGCACTTGCTCAGGAAAATGACCCCATAAGCAGAGAAATGAGCTGAAAGATTAGCTAGCAAGGGGATATTGAATCTTCTTTACTTCCAAATAATAAATGCTCAGCATACTCAGAGTTGGCCTGAGAGAGTTCTGGTTGTTTTTCTCTCATTATCCACCTATCACTTCTCTCACCCACTCTGGTCCTCTCTAAAGTACCAACAGCTCTCCTGTGAATTTGGGCCAATGAATAATAAGAGTGGTGGATACCAAAGACTGAATTCTTTTGCTGTCTCAAAAAACCAGCATATCTTCCTTTGGGATTGACTCAGATTCCATTTTAGATGTCATGTTGTTAGACAAAACTTTGGCACTCCATTTTCTTTCAGAGCCAAAGAATTTTGGGCAGTTTTCTAAAGCAATCAGATTTATTTTTATAATGATTTCAGAATATATATTTTAAAAAGAAAAAATGGGAGGATCCTCAGTGGAAGGTGCCTGATAATTATAAATACATAGTTCTAGCACTAATGTTAAAAGAGCTACCTGGTTTATAAAATATAATGGAATATTATTCTAGTCTATGTTCAAATATGTAAATATGCAACATACTGTGCATAGATGTGTAATTTACATTTATGTAGAATTTATAAGTCAGTGTTTGTAAATCACATGTTACATGGGGAACATGTAATTGTTAATTTGGAAAATCAATCTTCTAGTTTTGTAGCCAGAATTTGGGTTGAACATTACAAGATGGTCACAGTGTGTTCCCGATGCCAGTCCTGTTTCTTTCTGGGTCCCACTGTTACCATTGGCAAAGGATAGCGCATCAGACCTCATCTTGTTGGTGGTGTGTTCACCTGTTGCAGCAGACACGTTCTCATCACTCAGAACAGCCAGGCTTTTGCAAACCTATGAACGGCCACTATGCCAGGGCCCCATAGCAGTTCTGGTCTTCAACATACTTCTTTCAACAGGAGAAATACTCCTGTTCTCTTATTCTCTTTTCCGAAACCAACAGTGGCAGAGACATTGGTAGCTGATGGTACATTTCTGAAGGATGCAGGACTCTATGTACCTCCCTGTTCCTTCTCAGAAATGGTCCTTTCTGCAAAAAACAGCTCATGGCATTTCATCTGAGGCATTTAGCAGCTCCCAGGGCTTAAAGAATCAAGCTAAGCCTGTCACAGTCCAGCTCCAAAATCCAATGTTCTAGCTACTCTGATCTATTCTCCATGCCCAAGTACAGCGGTGTTCTTCATGCATTTGCATGAATGGTCCTGTCTGCCTCAAACTCCTGCATCTCCCCTTTCCCTAGTCTCTGCTCATCACAATTCAGGTTATCCTTCAAGGCCCACCCCAAGGGTCAACTTCTCCCGGGAACTCTCTCCAGTTCACTCAGGCTGAACTGACCACCCCTTTCTTGGCCTCCTCACGATCCATTATACTTACTTCTTCTATCCCATAGTTTTCTTTTTGTTTTTTATGTTTTTAGTTGTTTGTATATAACTCTCTTCTACTAGAATACAAACTTCTTGAAGGGGCAAGAAACATGACGGATCCATTCTGTATTCTAGACCAATACTTGCCAAGTAGTTGTCACTCGGTTGGGAAAGTAATGCTGTGTACTCACTGTGAAGAACTGGTTCTTTGCAGTCAGCCCTGAATTTTAGTCTCCTTGACCCTGGGGAATTTTCTTATCCTCTGCCTTAATTTCCATATTTATGAAATAGAGGTAACAATACTACCTACCTCAGTCATTAAGAGGGTAAAACGAGAAGTGTGGATCAGGTACCTGGCATAAAATTGGAACCAGATAAATATCAGTGTCTATTTCTCTTCAGTAACTATTGTAGAAAAAGAAAGAATTGATAGATGTTGAGTCATATTATACATATGTATGTTTACTATTTACCAAGAAAATTGAATCACTGAACATGTAACAAACTAACTCTTTTAACTTCAGAGGGAAACTAAACCCAAGATTATGCAAACATATGCAATTTTGCTTTTCCAGAACCACTTTTTACTGAAGAGAACCTTTATCCCCTAAGGCAAGGTTAACCAACTCCCCTGGCTAAAATCTTATGGAAATTCAAGTCTGTCTCACTCTGGCCCCCTACTGCCAGGATGTGTGAAAGCCCTTACTCCACAAGCTCCTATGGAGACTAGACTGTGGTGGCTTCAGTTGGTTCCAGATATCAGGGTCAGTACCCTGCATATGCAACAGGCTTGTGAAAGGAAAACTTGCCTCCAGAGCCCACTCCAGAATCCAGGGAAACCACCAGAACTGAATTTACGTATCTTAACTCATTTAATTATTATAACCTCCCTGGGAGGTAGGTCCTATTATCATCTTACTTGCAGACAGAAAAACTGAGGCACGGGGAAATAACTTACCCAAAGTCACACAGTTTATAACCAGCAAAGCCAGGGCCCAACCCAATCTGAACCAAAGTGTAGACAGGTAACCATTACACTACACTGCCTCTTATAGTTTAGGTCTGTGCACAGTTGGTGAGCATTCTCGGGGGGATGTCATTGCAGCTCCAGGAATGTTTGACTGCCCAGGGATCTCAGGTGGGGATTGCTAGATACCATTTCCAGTGCTCTCCAAGGAGAAATTGATCCAGTGAGGTCCCAGGGCCTGCAGCTGGGTGAGGCTGAGGCAGGCTTGGGCAGACTTAACCGTCTTCTTGGATTAGTCCTTCACACTCTTGGTTCAGACTTCCTGCATATGTTGTGCACAAACCCTTCTTCAGATGATTACCCAATTAAGTTATTTGACATGTGACATTCTGAGTTGTTGCTCTAGGTTTCCATTTGGCTGCTTTCCAGGTGTAGATTCCACACCTGTCTTGCTCCTGAGGGAAATAAGAGTTTGGGCTCCGCCCCAGCCCTGAACTTCATCTGAGACCTGGCTTGGACTTAATTTGTGGATTAGCATCTGAAGTGAGGACAGTCTCGAGGCCAAGAGGGAGAGAGCCAGAGCCTTCTCAGTATCTGAAATGATAAACACTCCTGCCAGGTTCCCAAGAACAATGAAGTCCTCTGTAAAAGGATCTGGGCCCCCATCAAAGCTAATTACATCCAGCTGATGCTAAAATTGAGCCTCCAACATGCCTGGGGCTCTGCATCGCCTCACAATTGGGAATAGAGTATCTCGGGACTCAGTATCCCTGGGCAGATAGGCACCGCAGAAGGTTCTGGGCTCTGGTGGAGCCTCCTCTGCCTCATTCTGCCTCCCACCTGATACATCCTCTACGTGCGCCTCCATGAGCGTGGCTTGAGGGAATGCCCCCTGAAGGTCAGTCACTAGTGTGTGGCCTAGAAGAGGTGAAAGCCAGAGGTGAGGCTGGGTCAAGGCCAAGATAGAACTCAGCCCACAGAAAGGGCATGGGGAAGAAGCCAATATGGGGTCCAGTGTCAGCAAATACTCTCCCTTTCCCAGACCACCTACCTCTTGACCAGCCCTGTCTTCACAGGCCTCATCCTCTTGGGTTCAAGCAATGTGCTATACCCACCTGTAGACCTAACATTTCCTGGGTTTGGTGAGGGGTCCAACCCGTATGGGTGATGGAGGTCTGAAAGAAAACATTATGGTACTTATTAAAGATGGTAAGGCAGAGTTTATTCAGGACCTGGAGAGCGGGGGATTGCCATGGATATACGAACCACAGCCCAGGGGTCTTGCAGTGAGAGAGACAGAGTGGACTCAACTCTGACTCTGGTAAGGACAAACGGGGATTTATAACCCAGGAACAGCATGTGGCGGGGGCAGTGTGTGGGAAATTACTAGGAGGAAACATCAAGAATCAGAGGTTACTGGTTAAAAAAACATATACAAAAAACATTGATAAGACGGGATTATTGCTGAAGGCAGGCCAGGGTCCTGAGATAACAAGGGGGCCAAGTTACCAAAGGTAGGTGGAAGGTTTTAGCCAAACTGACTTAGCAGGATTCTTGCTCAAACTGGATTCTACAAGGACAGGGAGGAAAGCCCAATGTCTGACCTAGTCAGAGAGGACTCAGGAGCCCAACTAAAGTTTTGGTCAAAGGAGAGTCTGTCAGAGGGCTGGGTTGTAGGTAGTAGAAGGAGCAAGGACTTTGAAGCCGGCAGGCTTGGCCTTGAATCTCACCTCCTGATGACTTGTGACAATTAATTTAGCACCTCCTCAGTCTCCTCATGTATAAAATGGGAATAACGCCTATTCACATGGCTGCTTAGGAGGATTCAATGAGATTCCAAATGTAAAGGGGCTGGCCCTTAGTAGGAGCTCAGCAGCTGTGATCTGCTTGACTCAGGACCCCCAGGAGTTGTCATCTCCTCAGTCACCCTACCCAATAATACACACTGTAAACCTGCTGAGGCCACCCCAGTCCTCTGAAGTACCGCCACACTCTGTTGTTTGATTCAGACCTGAAATCACCTGCACTTAACTAGCAAATCATTAGCAAGCATATGTGAGGAATTAGAGATCGTGCTGTGATGAGTTAGAAAGGTGAGGCTGGGAAGTGGGACTTGGTTTTATGTAGTCGAAGGATCTGTGGAAAGTACCTGAAGATGTATTTGGACAAAGCCAGCAGCCCTTGGACCTAAGCCAAGCTGCTGTCTTTCTTATCTGCAAACAGGTGGGCTTCTGCACACCAGCCAATAACACACATACAAGATATTAACAGTTACCATTTATTGGATGCGTGTGCTGCTCATGGTGGGCCCTGGTCTAGCTACTTTGTGTGCATTGTTGCTGAACCCTACAATAACCCCACGAGGTTCTTATTATTTCACTGAAATGAAAACGAAAGCTAACTTACCTAAGACATCACAGCTGACCCTAAGCCCATTTCCAGTCATAGTTCAGCCCGTGGTGGCTCTGG